ACATTTGTTCTTTCACCGTGAATTTCAGTGTTTTAAACTAATTTATATGTGTTCAAGCAAAACTCAACGCAAAATTTTCAGTTACCTTATATAAATGCACTGAAATGGGATCGGATTGTTCGACATGTCTATCGCTGGATCAGAAATGGGGTTGTATTTGGTGTGATAACGCATGTAGTCATTTATCGCAGTGCATCGCACCATCTGATCAACTAGTGTCCCACTCAGCTGATGCGTTGTGTCCAAAACCTTTCATTGAATCCGTTGGTTTTCATTCGAATTTCATTTTAATCATTTATTTCTTGATGGATTTCAGTTCTTGAAGTTTTTTGGTTTGAATTCATGATGAGAGTGAATCGGTTTATCATTTAATTGGTTGTTTATCTTAGTTCGAACCAAAATCTGGCCCTCTGGAAGGTGGAACACTAGTAGAAATTCGAGGACGTGAATTGGGAATTTCATTACAAGACATCAAGGATCGTGTTTTCATTGGTGGATCAAAATGTGATGTCTTGCAATATGTCGTGTCGAAACGGTCAGTAGTTTTGTTTTTTCAGTGGAATTATCATTCATTATAACACTCTGCCCAAACAGAGTTTTCAACTGGAATTATGTATGGAATTTTGAATCAAAGAATGAAGTTATTCATTTTCTAAAATTTGCTGTAACAATTATAACAGTAATAACGGTTAGCGACTGATCTTCAGGATAATTTGCTCGATCATGTCAGGCTCGGGCTCGAGCCCTGTTCAGTTGAGATTCGGTAATTCAGGAAAGCGTTTCGCTGATTCAGAGTCTCGTTTCAAATTCGTTGACCCACAACCGAAATCGATATATCCTTCGTATGGACCCGTGTCGGGTGGGACGAAAGTTGTGATTTACGGCACGAATCTGAATGTTGGATCGAATATGAGTGTTTTCGTTGGTGAACATCGTTGTCAGTTGTTGCGTGATGAGGTTGCTTTTGCATTCTTATTGTGTTGTATTTAATCGTTCCTATAAAAAACATGAATAAAGCCAATAATATTTAGAATGAAATGAACGGTGCTTTGACGTGTTTAACGGGTCGCGTTCATCGGCCGCAGGTTATCGCTTCAATTCGCATCCAAATTGATCGAGCTGAGCGGATATTAGAACGAAAGTTTGAGTATCGAGAAGATCCGGTCATTCGTTCAATATATCCAACTTCTGCGTTCGAGAGTGGGGGTCGATTGATTACTGTCGAGGTGACTCTTGACTTACTGTATTCGTGAGGAATTTGTTGTGTTATTGCTAGGAACTGTGATGATTATGTGACCATTGCAATAAATTGGTACGTTCACAAACAAAAGCGAACGTGGTCAGTGTAAACGAACAGAAATTTGATTCAAAATAAGAAGTAGTTTTGAATCGGTTTTGAGCAAAATTGTTTTTTCAATGTGATTTTTTCACTGTCGAAATGTGACCACTCATTTGACATCGATAATGACTGTGATTCGTCAATTCAGGGTTCAAACCTGGATACAATTCAAAAGCCAAAGATGTATATCGCGTCAATCGACTCCAATTCAAACGAAGAATTAATCTCATCGATCAGTGACTGTCAAGTCTCAAATTCCTCTAGTATGTTGTGCCGTAGTCCTAAGATAAATCTACCTCCGTCCGTATCCCCGTCCACCTATTCACGATGGCCTGTTGGCTTCCTTCTGGATAACGTCCAGTCGACTCTTGCAAGCCTATCATCCGTACAGATCACGATCGTTCCCGATCCGCAGTTCGTTCCATTCAAAGGCATTCGAATTCATCGACCTGATCAGCTGTTCTTGATCGAGGGTAATTATCTATCCCATGCTGCGTCTGCAGAAGACTATAAGGTTAGTTCTGCGATCTTTTCGTTTTATGTTAATTGTAAAAATAAACACTAAACCTCTGATACAGATCTATATTGGGAGCTCGCGATGTAAGGTGACTTTGTTGGATAAACGTCAACTGATGTGTCGTGCACCACTGAAAGAACCTCGGGCGACGGACGAGAAGGGAAATGAAGTTGAGGGTGGAAGACCTTTACTGACCGTTATTATCGGCTCCATCAGGCATGAACTTGGTTTCGTCGAGTATGAATCCAGTGCTTTGAGGTTTTCTAGTTTTCTTACTCTCATTTCTGCTTTCACCACCATTCACTTTTGATATTTTTTGTTCAAAATGTGCAAAATTGGAGTACATATGACTGTACATCACAATAACAACGGTATTTTCAGGTTATCGTTATCGCGATTGTTACTGCTATTAATTGGTGGCGTATTGGTTTGCACGATAGTTACAGTTTTGGCTTTTATAATGTATAGACGGAAAAGGGATGAACGCGAGAAAGACTACAAAAGAATCCAGCTGAAAATGGAATATCTCGAGTTTAATGTGAGGAATGAGTGTAAACAGGTGGATTTTGATCGATTTCGTTTTTACAATGCCGTTTCGATTTATTTTTTTGAAAGAATCCCAAAATTATGATCGTTGATCGTTGAAATTTTCACGAAAACATTAACTTTTCTTTGTTTTGTAACGTTATGAATCAATTTTATTCTGGTTTGTGTAATATTCGTTCCGTATTGAAGGCATTCGCCGAACTGCAAACCGATGTCACAGACTTGACGATGGCTGTAGAAGGATATGGGATTCCATTCCAAGATAAATCTGAATTCATTTCGAGATTGCTCTTTAAGGATATAAGACCCATCAATACAATGCTTTCAACATCTTCTCTTTATTCAAGGTTTGTTTGTTATGGAATTTGTTGATATTTTTGAGAGAGTTTCATAGTTAAACTATTTTTGCGCTGGATTCAAATCAGTTACAGGCGACATTTGTTCGGTGTAGCTGCGTGAAAGCTTATACTTGATGGTGATTGCAAATGGTGAACGTACGAGTCAGCAGCGCGNGTTGTGGAATTTGTTGATATTTTTGAGAGAGTTTCATAGTTAAACTATTTTTGAGCTGGATTCAAATCAGTTACAGGCGACATTTTTTCAATGTAGCTGCGTGAAAGCTTATACTTGATGGTGATTGCAAATGGTGAACGTACAAGTCAGCAGCGCGATTGTAAATTTTCTTTGATAATTTGCAATCGCGCTGCTCACTTGTACGAGAAAAAACCTCATTATATCGTCAGACAGTTAACAAACATTTTGATTTACTCAAGCAAAAAAAAATCTTCTCAGCAGTCAAAATGAAAACAAAATCCACCAGTAAGAAAACGACTACCTTTCAAGAACATCAACTCACTGAACATTTTGTTTGAGAGTTTGGATCTTTCATTATATCCATCCCTAGCGAGAACGAAAATGAATAAAACTTCATTGCATTGCCTCATAACTTGTTTAAAGTCACATAATTCAATGAGCTGGATTGAAAGCTAACGATGCACCTTTAGCAGGCACAGCGCTACGGAAAAAGTAGCTTCAGTAATTGCGGAATAACGAGTGGTGCTCTGTTGCTCACCACTGACTTAATACACTAATCTTTTCTAAAAGTATTCTAAAAATGAAAAATGCGTATTTGAATGAACGATAATTTAGTCATTCGTCTGTGGCGTTGGCCCAGTTCGAATCGTTGATGAACGACAAACGATTTGTGTATTCGATTGTCGAGATGATCGAATTGGATATTTCGTTTAGTATCGACGAGAAGCGATATATCTCCTCATTGTTAATCTCCTCACTTTTCCCAAATTTCGTTTATTTCACTGATGTTATCCTGTCGTTGATTCACATCCACATCAGCAATGCCATCCAGGTGCTTATCTTTACTTCACTGTTCATCTGCTTTTGTTTCGCTTGTAAACCTCTTCAACGGACTAATTCATAACTATTATCCTT